GAATGTCTATCTGTGTTTCATTGATTATGCAAAGGCATTTGACTGCATGGATCATACCAAACTGTGGCTGACTCTGAGAAGAATGGGAATCCCAGAACATTTAATTGTGCTAATGCGAAACCTGAGCAAGAGGCAATCATCAGAACAGAGCAGGGTAACACTGCATGGTTCAAAAGTGGGAAGGGTGTACGCCAGAGATGTCTTCTGTCTCCATACCTTTTCAACCTGTATGCAGAGCAGATTATCATAGAGGCTGGGCTCTATGAGGAGAAGTGTGGTGTCAGGATTGGTGGAAGAATCATCAACAACCTGCGTTATGCAGATGTTACAACCCTGCTTGCTGAAACTGAGGAGGACCTCATGCACTTGCTGCAGAGGGTGAAGGACTGCAGCCTTCAGTATGGACTGAGGCTCAATGTTAAGAAGACAAAGTTTCTCACCACTGGACCAAATGGTAGCATCAGGATGGATGGCAAAGAGATTGAGATTGTTCAGTGTCCTGTAGGCAGCAGAAATACTTTAAAAGACTCCAAAAATTAAGCTAAGATACCATCAAATATAGTGACCAAATTAAAGAATCAAAAATTCAAAAGAACGAGAATTAAGAGTTTGTTACAGATCAAGAAAAACCTCAAAGAAATGAAAGGAAAAATTGTTTTGAATGTATAAGAACAAATAGACAAATGGAAACTGATAAGTTATACATAATTATAATCAGTACATTTTTACTATTCACTTTCACTTAAAGATATTGCCAGATTCTGCATTTTTGCATTTTACTTCAGAATCCTTTTGTAGTAGATAAAATATATAATTTTGTAAACAATGTGTGGGAAAATTTTTGAAGGCCTTTAATAAGATTTTCCATTTTCCTTTTGCAGCAAAGAGGCAGAATTAATTTATAAGAAAAAATGAAAAACAAAAATGTCTGAACAAAAAATTTAAATATTCAAACCGCAATATTTACTTTATCTAGATTCAGTGACTGAGTAATGGGGGTAGGTGTGTCAGAGACACAATAAGATTGACACAGGATAGAGCAGGCTTTAGGGCTGTTGTACATAGGGTCACTAGGAGTCACAGGCAACTCAATGGCACATAACAACAACAACATATCTAGTTAAACAGCAACATTTATAGTATGCCAATAATTTTGTCAGATTTTTCTCCTTAAGGTAACTTTTTAAAAAACAATTCACAATTATGTGGTTTACTAAGGAAGCCAAAAGGCTGTATTTCAGATTGGCAGCAAGATATAATCACTCAGCAAGGACAGCTTCAGCTTCTTTGCTTTAGGCCAGTGTTAACAAAGCTTTCTTAGTCTGGCCAATTATGTTGTCTCCTCTTCCTCCCCCCACCCTAGTCCTCTAACAAGTGTGGATGAAGGTTCCTAGCTCTGGTTCTGTGGGGTAGCAGTTTGAAGTTCATTTGTCTCACAGTAGGTCTCTAGTTCTCTGTTTTGACTGCTGCGGCTGCTCCTGTAGGCTGTGATTTGAGTAGCACAGGAATCTTTGGTCCCAGAGGACTCATACTCTGCCTTTTCTGCTTCTTCTTCGCTCATGATAAGATTCTAATATATTCTGATTATCTATAACTGTATAAGCAAAACACACATTTCCAAATGCATGTGTTTAATATAATATTTTTTATTAATTTCAATGAAAATTTACAGAGACTTTGAATTTCTGTTCATTCATTGTTGCACTTTTCTCCCCTCCAAACCCTCCTCCCTAGCACACAACCGTCTTGGAAAAGTAAAAGAAAAATTCTTTCATTGTTTTACAATCCCTCCCCCCAGGTCCACTCCACTATGCAGCCTTTGCTCTGGACTCCTGTCATGACAAAAATACCTAATCACATATCCCTTTTAAACAGTTTTCTCCCTCATCTGTTTCAATGCAGTATACTTTATTTAACCCATCTTTCTTAGTCTACCCCCATCCCCGAGGTTAGTCCTGTTTTACACAGTGGCACCATGCAGTATTTGTCCTTTTGTATCCTTTTGTCCTTCACTCAGCATAATGTCCTCAAGGGTCACCCATTTTGAATAATATTCCATGAGTTCCTTGTTTTTCAATGCAGCATAGTATTCCATTGTGTGAATATACCACAGCTTCTCTATCCATTCATTTGTTGATG